GTGCTCTGCGATGGGTTGGTGCCACATCCTAGGTTGTTCCCTGCCTTGCGTCTGTAGCCTCTGGAATAGGCCCTGGATCCCCCGCGACCCTGAATAGGAAAAGCGGGTACAGAACATGGATGGGTGGATATATCATAAAATCACGAGTAGCTCAAAAAGCAAATGTCACAGGTAGGCATCAATCTGGCAGAATTCTGGAAAGTGCGCTCGAAACACCACTGAAAGGAGATACGGCTTCACATACAGTCTACCATAAACACCAGTTTCAAATCAAGTTCACTAGTTAAGGCCACCAACAGACACTTAAAGACGCGACAGTATCTGTGCTGTGTGAGCGCCTCCCTCTAAAAATGTCCTCTGAGCCTGTTCCCCGGTTACAGCCCTATTTGCGTTCCGCTCCAATTCACAGTCACCGGGAGCCGCGATGGACCGCAGCTGATTATCACTTAGCGTTCGGGTTCCAGGAACGCATCCGTGAGGCTGGGCCACAGTCATGCAGGGGCAACACTCTGCATTCACCAAAGGCAGAGCGTAGGCACAGTAATCTGGGTTTTTTTTGTACCCAAATGTATACGATTGGAGTATCTTCGCCCAAATCTTTATTACCACTGGAACCTGAGGGTGTCTCAGCCCTGATCCACTGGGACATTCTCAAGTATGAGAAGAATCTCTCTGTATAGATTTCAGTTGACCTCACAGCTACCGGTTATGAACATCTTCTGGTCACCATTCCAGTGAGAAACTACACTATATTTGTATTGTGTAATTTCCTAAGACAGCCATTATTAATTGTCGTCCTGCAGCTGGCTTCAGATTTTATTTCCAGTAATCTATAATTACCTTGCTAAATTATGTCACGAGTGAGCAAATTCAATATTATTAAAAATACAGAATATCGGGAATTTTTAAGCTTAACGGGCAACAATACCGGGCCTGTCATTTCAGACACATATATGGGCTCATTACAGCCAAAATGTAACCTAACGATGAATTAAAGAGATTTTTAAGAATTTACAAAGGACCGATAGAACTGGATAAAGACAGCAGCAAATAGAAATGGCCTAAATCTCCTAAGAGTGTCCATGCTGGTTGCAATTCTTTGCTAAAAAAATTATAAGAGTAATAATAACAACAATGTTAGTACTAAAGGGGGCGTGGTTAGAGGTTAGCAGGCAAATTTTGGCTGTTAAAATTCATGACCCGTCTTATCTTATAGTCTGTTTAGGCTAAGGTTCAGGTTAGCATCGGAAGTGCCTGCACACCATGACTGTGGTTCAATATTGTGTCACACTACATTCGGGGGCCATGTTTGTGAGCAATGGAGAGCATGTGTGTGTGCGTGTGTGTGTGTGTGTGCTCTCCTTTGTGCTCTGTATCTGCATAGCCAGCCAGTCCCAGCACTAACAGCACTCAGCCTGTGTCTATTCCTTAAACCAACACGAGCAGACAAAGCAGCGCAGAGACTGAGGAATCTTTCTGTCTGTGTGCCCAGAGCATGGGGCGAGACCACACGGCAGTGTGGGGGGGTGGGGGGGCCCGGACCACCCACTTAGGGAGTGGGACAGCGGGGTAGGCTGCACAGCCCCCCAATTCCGGGGATTTGGGAGTTCAATGGGACCTACAAGGAAGCCGAACAGTGGCGGGAGCGCGCCGCGTGCCCCTCTGAAGTGCCCCGCCGGCCCCCGCGTGCGTGCGTGTGTGTGTGTGCGTGCGTGCGCGCCAGGGTGGGGGCCACACGGCTGCCCGTGCACCGCCACCAGCTGCTGCTCGCATCACTGATCCGACGGGAGTAAACAGCCCACTTCCTGCCTGGGGGGGGGGAGGGTGAAGGCAGAGGCTGATCCACCTGCTACGAACAAAGCCGTTTGGAAACGGTGGCATTTTTGGCCCGTCGGGACTCCGTAGGGAACGTCCACACGCCGGTAATTTGTCAGTCATGGGCGGATTAGGCTTTGAATTGCGACTTCAAAGACTGACTACAAGACACACTGGAACAGGTGGGACGCACCTGAGGCCAGTGGGGATAGCGGGCTGGCTCCGTCACGACAGAGGGCGACATTACAGCCCCCGAGCACAATTCGGGACCCCCGGTAATAGCGATACTACACAGCCCTCCGTAAAAGTGACCTCTCAGATTCAGTCACAGAATACAGGCAAACAACACGGTCACAGTGAGATGCTGTGAGTAGAAAGATGTTGCACATGCAGCCATCCACATCAGGTCCACATCCCATCTGTGGCGGGATTGGTGGAAGAGGTGAAAACACGCCTGCAGTCGGTCATGCATCATGTTACATTCTAACAGACTCCCAGTAGGCCAGAGCAGCCAGTGCTACAGGTCAGTAACTGGTATACCACCGCAGGTCACAATATAATAACAGGTTTACTACAAGTGCTGTCCGCTTATTCCCTGGCCCTCTGTGGGTACAGCTCGCTATGGATGGGACACATATCAAAATCCAATATTAAAATAATCCTTGTGTCATAAAACAGCTACAACGGAAACCGTTGCCTGTGATTTTAGGCCCTATTAAACTGACAGAGATCCACATGCTAAAGTGTTTCTTGTTTTAAAGGGGATTAAGAATTTATTCGCTGGCCCACTGATGACAAGCGGCCAGTGGCAGTGGACGGTAGCCGCCCAGGCTGCGCGTACATGCGGACCGCGGAGGGGCTGGGGTGGGGGCGAAACAGAGTTAATAACTGTGAAGTGAATGAAGCCACGAGCCAGACGAAGCAAGAGCGAGCGGCCAGGCGCTGCTTCAGCTGAACGCTCCGGCGAGCACCATGCGAGCCAACAGTGTAACAGGGATGCTGATCTGGGTGGCTCTGTGTACACAGGAACAGCACCTACGCTGCATCCACTTACTGTTTGTTTTATCTGATCTTTAAAGATACAAAAACTACACCACAAAACTTTTTTAGCTTGTTATCTAGAAATACAGTCAAATAAGAGTAACTGAAGGCCCAACTATGACAAAAATAAAATGAGTGTAAGAAAAGCCCTCAGCAAAAAGGCCAGGGTGATATTTACTGACAGCCTGGGGCTTCCTGGATCAGAGCATCATGGGAAAAGAGGGCAGGGTGACTCCCATCCCTGCACGTAGGCCTAGCTGGGGATGTGGGATGGAAGGTAAGCAGCATAGCACAGCGAGCGGAAAGACAGCAGCCGCAGCACCAAACAGCCACACCTTGGCCCCGGGCCCCGGGCCCCAAACAGCCACACCTTGGCCCCGGGCCCCGGGCCCATCTTCCAGGACACACAGCAGCCACATCCTGCTGCCACTCAGCTGGGCCCCACCCCCTCCCGGACGCGCTGGGCTGGCAGCAGCGCACCAGGATGTTTCCGAGTATTGCCATGGGTGGGNGGGGGGGGGGGGGGGGGGGGGGGGGGCAGAGCTGAAGTGGAGAGCTTGCCATCTCACTTAGTTAATGGCAGGATATGCACACTTAAACCAATCATCTTACAAATTAAACAGAATCTTACCAACATATGCATTACAAATGCTTTGGATGATATCATAAAACATTATACACTATATTTACTCATGCATACATCACCACTTAGGAAGAGAAAGAAATTGGCATATCATAAAAGCCTGTAAAGGATCAGCCAAAGGGATGCACTGCCGGACAGGTTACACGATTATACACTGTGTATAGGCCGTTTCCTGATATGAGAGTGCAACAAATTTGAAATAAAGTTAAAAATTTACAATAACTTCATCTAACTACCTTATAATTCTGATTGGGGGGAGTGAAACAGACTCCAGGCAGCACAGAGCACAGGCTGGTGCACCTTGGAGGGGTGCTGGCCCATCGCAGGGCACATGCATTCACTACAGGCATTTCAGAGACACTGTTCAGCTTAACTGCATGTCAAGGACTGTGGGAGGAGACCAGACCACAAGACAGGGAGAGCATGCAAACCCCACACACAGAGCACAGGTGGTGGGATCCAAACCCACAGCCCTAGAGGAGTGAGGCAACAGAACTAACCACCAAGCCACCAACCGGGAAACAGTAAGCATAGCATATAAAAATAACTCGATCTGTTGTATGTGATACATTACACGTAATGAGATAGAACTTAACGTGTTACTGTAAGTCGTTGTTTTTATCTCCATTACACATGAAGCCCCGGTTGCACTGGGAGAAAAGCAGGCCGGTCCTTACGTCGAAAAATATTAATTTAGTAGCCTTGGATTCTTAAAGTTTGAAAGATAGGTGCGCCCTCATGTGGTTACAAAAGGTATTTTCCATACCTGATTGAAACTGATTGACAGGTACTTCATATGCTAATATAAGCGTTTTATTTTTCAGACACGCCTTAATTTTAATGTTTATGCAATTTACAGTTTTAACAGACGTGAACAGCTGAATTCTACTATTATCAAGAAAGCTCGCGAGAGTTAGAAGCGAGATGAATGTCGCATAGAAAAGTTCGTAAAACTTTTCTAAAACCGAATTGTATCATGTCGATAACTATGTGTCTAAACATGTGGGAAAAACAGAGGAAGAATTATGAACATTTTAATGTAATTAAACACACATAAATATATAAAATTATATATAAACGATACATACAGTATTTGATATGATATGCAAATAGGGAACTTGATCAATAGCTTACCCGTCGTGGACATTTCTACTTTTAATGGGCTATTAAAGTTCTGATTATGGAAGTAGAACAGGTTTGAGCCACGTGATTTTATTATGAACCCAGGTGACACCAAAATGTCTCAAATCCATGTACCTTTGCCGGTTAAAACCAAAACCAAGAGTTAAATACATCACGTGCACGATTATTTTAGATGCAAACTTTGAAAAATGTATTAATCGTCAACGTCTCGAGAAACCGGTATCCCATCAGCTGGAATCGGTCGATTGAAGCAAAAGTGACGTCAAAGCGTAAGAGCTGCCGAGATCCAAACTCTGGACGACGTCATGGACGCGGACTCCCGGGGAAACCCGCAACTGCAGAGTCGTTTTACACTCACCTCCGTAAATATCAACAAGCGATCCCTTAATTTCCGTGGGGCGCGGTTCCTCCTCGCTCTCGTGGAAGGCCTCCCTGGGTCAAGGAGAAGGAGGCACAGTTAGCAGTGTACCAGAACACAGACTCTCTTCGTCTGTCCATCCCAGAAACCACAAAGGAAGACGGGGGTACGGACATGTCTACTTAAACCTCACCATTCTCATGGAGCACATGAGCGAACCCCAGAATACGCCAAGCGTCCAGACCTGCTTCAATCGAGAAAAGGGGCCACCGTTTAAGCACGGCCTCATAGGCATTATCACTACCGCTCTGAAAACGCAGCAATGCGCTATGTTCAAATTGTCATTTCTTCTTTCTTTATTAATTACCATCCGCTCCAGTACCATTATTATTAGTCAGTTGTTTTAAACTGCAAGCAAATTACTTTCTAAAAAAAATGTCCAATTAACTTTTAACACCGAAAACTAATCCAACAGCTCCACCTAGTGGGAGCAGTAAGAAGTAACTTTTACACACCTCCGGATTTGGGGGTTTGAATCTCTCCTGGCCATTGCATGTGTGTCGTGCTGGTTCCCTTCCACACTCCAAAGACATGCAGTTAAGCTAACTGGTGTTTGTGAATTGTCCATAGCGTATGCCTGTGTATGCCTGAATTGATCATGAGTGTGTCCCCTGCAATGGACTGGCCCCCTGTCCAGAGGACACTCCAGCTTGGGCCCTGAGCTGCCTGGGACAGGTTCCAGCCCCCCGTAAGATGGATATATTTTGTTTGTAGAACACTGTCAATGGGTTTTACAATAATGTATATCAATTGGTGAGAGAGAGACACCACCTGGCTGTATTGGATAATCAGTTATAGAAGATGGATAGATTTAAGTATAGAGGGCTTAACATAAAATGGGACATGAACCAGACTTAATAATAATTTCATAAGACCAACATAGTCACTCTAGGTTTCAACCTATTCATCCTGTACTGTGTCTACCAGAAAGCCAGGGAATCTCCTCAAACTCATCTAAAGTTACTAAGTCTACAGAGACAAGGAGCCACTTGAGGCCACCTGCTCCACTGCCTGTTACAAGACAGGCCTTAAGCAGCAAACACTATAAATGCAACAAGAAGGAAAGAACAGGAATTGTTAGGTGCAGAGTTTCATGCCTGCTGTCTCATCTCTTGTGCCAAAAGTCATTCTAGTCGATAAAAACTATGCTGTAGAAAATTGCATTTCCATTGGTTCAGTTTCAGTTCAGGCTTCAAAAGAGTTCAAAAGTTTATGGAATTTCAGGCCCATCACAAACAGTTTCAGTACATCTCCAAGGAAACAACAATAACAGAAGACCAAACCTTTTGTGAACACATTTACATAAAAGTGCATCTGTCTGTCCATGGATAGATGGACGCACCAGGATGGGGCTCCAACTTATCACAGGACACACACACCATTCACACTACACCTATGGGCAATTTGATAACTCCAATTAAGCTCAGCATGCTTTTGGACTGTGGGGGTTTAACAGAATACCTGGAGGAAACCCCACGACGACACAGGGAGAACATGCAAACTCCACACACATGGTGGCCTGGCAGAGACTCAAACCCTGGCTCCTGAACCGTGAGGCAACAGTGCTAACCACTGCACCACCATGCCACACTTATTTAAAAGCCATTTATTAATAATAAATTAATAATTTGTTTCAATGCTAATATAATGATCAGTTTTGTGTGCAGTTGTGTTCAGCAGAGACATAATCTGACGCAAATATCAAGCTGCAAATCTGTGGCAATATACCACAAACGATGTTATTGGAATTGAAGATGAAAAAATGTAAGTATATAATTTAAGTATAAGGCAAAGTACAAAAGCCTATAAAATATTCCTCATGTCCTTTCTGTCTTTTCTGGAACTATTAGCATGCCTTAATAGTCATAAACTGATGCCTGGAACCATCCCAAACGGCCCAGCTGGTACTGCAGCTCTTCCAAGGTCCTGTAGATCAGACAGCGGCTGAGGTATGAGTCATGCTGTCAAATAATATCTCAGAGAAATGAAAAAAACATAACTGGCATCATTCTGCATCCAAAGGGAACGCTGGCCAGCCGGGGTGGGGGGGGGGGGGTTGGGCTCTCCTGCAGGTTCAGCTGGATTTTACAATCAAGCAATACATCACTTTCACAAAATGAAGACATTTCGATGGAGGACAAAAAGTGTTTCAAGCAGGGTTATTACAGTTCTGAAAGTAGTATTTCATTTTATTTTATTTTCAATTTTCATTTGCAATCCAGATTAGTTTTAGTTCATTTGTGGTTAGAAATGTGGTTTCATTAGTTTTTATTACATATATCTTTGTTTAGTTTTTATATATTGATGTCAGTTTTATGTACTTTTATTTCTAGGGACGGACTGAAAGTTGTAGAGCTATTTTATGAATCTGATCTTTAGAGAATCCCACATGAATACACAATGCACATGTACTAATGTCCTCAAAATGGGCAAAACATATTGCTGGTGGTATTAATGACACTTAGAGATAAGCAAATCGCTACTTTAGCTAAATGGTATTTTAAAACGGTAACTGACATTTGGAACTTTATGCGTTCGTTTTGGAAGCAATATTTATTGTTTTCCTTTTGTTGTTTTACTATTTTATCATGTTATTTTATTTCAGTGTACAAAAATGTTTTCTTATAGTTTTGGTTTTAGCTTTCATTAACGGTAATAGCCCTGGTTTGCCATGGGAGCAGCGGTGACGTGACCCTAAACGTTGCCCTAAGCCTGTGTTGGGAGGGGTGCCCTGGTACTACACTGACGGGAGGGGGGCATCATGTGTTTTTCTTTTTTGGACCCAGGAATTGCTCACTTTGTTCCCAGCAAACCATTGAATGTAAAAGCATATATTTTATCTAAAAGCTACAGATACCATAGGTAGCAGGAAGACTGATCCCACATCAGCCATCAGCAAAGTACCAACTCACTAAGTAAACAGAATAAAATTAAACAAATATGGGGGAAAACACACTAGTTAGAAGTTATATAAATTCAGAGTAACTTAAAATGTTTCCTAACTGCTCAAACAATGGTAAAACGACCAGACATTAGGTCAGTTCTGTTTGGTATCTGTGAATTGCACGCTTACAGACGTAATCCCCACGGTATTATGTGATCAAATCTGAAGTTGCCTGGGATTTTCATTTCAATCTGCATTTTCAATCTTCCCCAAGATGGCAAATTAGGTGTTTCCTCTGTGCCTCCTTGTCAGCATCCTTCAATGCACATATACTTTCCATATCTTAGAAAAATCAGTAAACACTTTCATCCTACAGAACTGTGTGGCTTAACTGTCTGTGTTTATTCCATAAATGAATATCCCTGTGCCATAGCCTGCTCTTAGTCGCATTCTTCTGCGTTCCTCAAGCGAGCTCAATAGCTGTAATGTCACAATCCTGCTCCTAAATCCAGGGCGCTATCAACTAGGTGCAAGGTCTGCTCAGGCTGGGAAATAATTCCTCACAACCAGAAATTTCAGAGAAACTGTTTACAAAATTGTAAACAAAGCTGTCGATGGGAAACAGAGTTAGCAAAGTCTAAGTTGGCAGGAGTACAGCAGTGGCACGGGGTGGGGAGCGAGGGGGGGGGGGGTTGGCTGCTCTTTTGATCTTGGGTTATGGTGATCTTTTGCATTTCCATGGCAATTGATCACATGCCCTGTGCCCACAGATGCCNGGGGGGGGGGGGGGGTTGGCTGCTCTTTTGATCTTGGGTTATGGTGATCTTTTGCATTTCCATGGCAATTGATCACATGCCCTGTGCCCACAGATGCCTTAATTAATGAAACCCATCTGGCTCTGATTAGACTAATTGCTATTAAGTTATAAATAGGGTCAGCTGTGCGAATTCTGGAGCCTGAGGAGCTGGCATTTGCACAGTGAGGTGGGCGCTTTCCATGGCTTTACAGAGCACTTGTTTTGCTATGTTTCGCAATGAGACTTTTTCTTTTTTTGTGGCTTTTCTTTAATAATCTGCTCTTGCGGCAGTCCTGCATTCTCCAGCATGCCACATACCAAGCTATTATATTAGAAGTACTGGAAAATAGTAGCATGAACCTCAAGTCGTTACCTATGAAGTGCTAGAGAAAAGCCTATTTCTGTATAGTAACTTTCCATCTTGGAATGGCTTATTGTGACCAGGGTCACAGGAGGTCTAGAGACCTTCAGGCACCACAGGAATGCCGGGGTATACCCTGAGGCATACTGCAGTCCATTGCATGGCACGCATGCCCATGTTTACACTGCATGTCGTTGGACTGCTGGAAGAAACGGGTACAATATGGGGACAACGTGCAAATAATGCAAACAATGCATACAATGGAGGTGGCATTCAAACCCCTAACCATGGTGGTGTAAGGAAAGCGTGTTCCCCACTGATCCACCACACCACAATCCTGCATCCATACTAGCTAGCTATTATGCTTAATCTGCAAGGCCCACGGAAGCCTTCACTTTCAACAAGACGCTTCACCCGTTCCCTTTTATTTATTCGCTGAGCAACCAGTATCAGCAGAGACCACACCCACCCTATAACCATCCGTTTACCCTCTTGCCATCAGGAAGACCATACAGAACCATCCAGGCCCGCAGCTCAAGAATGAGCAACAGCTCCTGCCTGAGAGCTGTAGTCCTGCTGAACCAGCAGTTATCAGTCCTGTTTGCTGTACTGTCCATAACAACCAGCCATGTCCTTTTGTGCTGCTGTCTTTCTGTAGTACAGAAAATGATCTGTTGTTAATGCTGACTTATTGCACTATTGCCTCATGGTCATGCCTCTTTCCACTTTATGCCTCATCCAGTCTTTTCTATCCTTGTAAATTCCTCAATGCATACACATTAATTTTTTTGTATATATACTTTTTTATAGTCTTGACTTTTTTCTCTGCATTTTCACTGGAATAACATACCAAATGTTGTTGTGCGCTGTACAATGACAAGGTATTCTTATTCTATTTTTAGAAACACACAGACTTGAGAAAATGACAGGCGTACAGACGCACCTAGAGAGAGCAGACCTGCCAGTCATTATCAAATACCAGAGCAACTCCTGGTGGGGTCATAAATCAGCTGCTTCAACAACCATTTAAACTAAAATGCGACCAGCAACCAAGACACATGGAGCTCCAGTCCCTGCAAGTCCCAGCAGTTGAGAGCATATCAGATTACAATAATGCAGTGGATAAAGTGTGATAGCTCAGTATAGAGGGGTCGCAACAACGCGACAACCATAGCAAGTCCAAAAGTGCAAGCCAAAGTGGACGACAAGCAGAATCCCAGTTCCAACTGTCCTGCAAACCTTTCAGCATAATAATGTATGAATCAAAAGTGCATAACTAGCATATGGCTACGGTGTATATTAAAGTCCTTATTAAGACACTAAAAATAAAAATATTGAAGAGTAAGCAGACATTGGTCTTTCGATGCCACATGTCTAAATTTTAAGAAACAAAACAAATAAAACCAAAGTCACAACGTTCAATGGATGGCGATATTTTTAAAACATACAAATAGTTCATAAAACAACTTCAATCAATTTATACACATAATAATATAGCTTTTTTACAACCTTATGAAAAATATTTAAAACTATTTTAACAGAAAACGTACAAGTAATCGCTTTAAGTAGTCGATTACAGAATTATACAATAATAGAAAGATTCTCGAATTAAAATTTTAAACTTCACTACCTATGGCGACACATTTGCTACACAATGTCAAGACAACGCGGTATAAACAATTTACATGGGTATTCGAGGTATCAAAAATAAAGTTCGCCTACCTACCTCTCTAAAAGTTCATTTTGTAGGCTAGACATTTTCTGCTTGGCTCTTTTGAGGGCATTTTGGACGTCATTCACCTTACTTTTGATATCCATTATTTAATCATTTTATGAATTGCACTGCTTTGGGATGTAAACCGCCATTTGATGTTATTCTGAAACAATGCCGCGCGTCTCCGGTCCCCCCAGCAACAGGTACGCGAGACTACTTCCAGGTCATGTGACAACGCGTGCAGCTTTTCGTGTAAATGGACATCGTTAAAAAGATCATTAAAATGGCGATCTTTGTAATTAACATGCAATTATTGATCGGAGCATTCAGTGTAAACTGCGACCCGCCATACACTGAAAGCCAGTATAACGCCTGATTCACTGATCTTTACGCTGTTGCGGTTCTATGCTTTCAAGCCACACAGCCACGTCGTGCCGGACTTCAGGCAAAACGGCTGCGAATAGAAGCAGTACTGTAGTGAATAATAGTTTAATGTTATTATATTTTGAAGTATTGGTCTTGTTAATGTTAGTAAAGTTTATTTTTCTTAATCGGTTTATACGTTTTAAGTTTCACGCAACAGCTCATTAAATTGCGCGAAACATAAATTATCCAGTGGCCAAACTACTTTGTATCAAGCGAGTTTAGCCTTTAAGGAGGTTACTCTTTTTGTTCCATTCCGTTTTTAAAAGTCGACAAAGAACGAATCGCCATACTTTCCAGTCTACGAAGTAAAAATGCTGTACTTCTGGGCCAGATGCCAGCTTAGTAACGCAGTAAATATATCTAAAAAAACAGATGTACTTTTAGAGGAAGCGTCGATTCCGAGCACTTACCAGTAAAATGTAATTACTTTAAGTTATTTTCTTTTTTAAAAAGCCATATATCTCGCAGCTTTATTAAAACTATCTTTCCCATTTGGTTTCCATTTGTTACCCTTAAAAATACCGAGGACTTGAGATTCATATACCGGCAAATCGACGAATATTGCCCGCCAGGGGGCAGCCATAACTGAAACGCGAAGGCTAATTTAATACTCTTAACATGTTTATTATAAGTTTAATAAAACCAATTCCATCACTATTTAGTATCACAATGATGTGGTCGAGCCTTTCAGCTTGATGTTTAAAACAACTTCGGAAGCCGACCAGAATATTTTAGGTGTTCAAAGATGTTCAGCTCAGATTTGCCACCAAAACAGCATTGCACCTGACCCCCAGCCTTCATCTCGAAGTAGGTCAGCCTACGTCCAATTGGGCGGAGGTCCTGAGGCAGACCCAGGCCATGCTGTGGGGATTATATATCCCAGCAGATTTAGGAATACACGAGGATCAATCAGAATGAGCTGTAGGCTGTGGCGATGGGAAGAGATGCATGGTTACACCATGCCACAATGATCCTCACCAGAATGATGGTGATAAATACATTTTCAAAATATGTAATGAATGAAATACAAGTTATCGGTGTGGTGAGATGCAGTCACCTGGGGAAATCAAGAGAAGAATTACGGTTTAAAAATTGTGCTCTGCCTTTAGACTGCAAGTTATATTCGATAGAGTGATACAATCTAATTCTAAAACTTACAAATATAAATTTAAACTTGTTAAACTATAATCAAGAGATATATGTGGATTTGCTAACTACATACAATTTATATTTGACTGAAAAGATCATTTCTATTTAATTTATGTTTAAGTATCTGTCTTATTAAATATTTATGAGCAGAATAAAAAACCTATCCAACATTTCTTGTGATTGGATACTGCAGTACCCAATGAGATTATTCGTTATTTGCTGGTGGCGCACTGGTGAGACTGGCAGACAGAGGAGTGAAGAAGTGAATGGTGTGTAAGGCACAAATAATTAGTTAATAATTTGTGTCTCATCATGAGCTCCATCGGCACCGGGGTAAGTTCAGCACCCTTGATGTAAGAACGATAACGGATTATATCTTATGGCAATGCAAGTGTAGTGTATAAATGGTATGAATTGGTGTATACAGTGACTCGCTGTTTCAGGCTGGCCTTCCTTCCGAGCTCATCCGGCTAGATCGAGGCTATGTTAAACTCAACGTCAATGTTTAATTGTATACACTATAAACCGGCTATAATTAAACTTTCCCGGCGACACCGAGACAGATAGAAGTCTTTTAAATATTAGGGCCAAGTTACCTAAAGAGTTAGTACGTTAGCTACATGGCTGCTGAGTCACTTGCTAGCGCTACATTGAGAAAGTGAAACCAACCGGCAAGCTTACTGTGGCTATAAATATACATTTCGCATATAGAGACTTATTTTTCTAAATGATGTTTTGCAGGTCGAAAGAAGCTTATGTCAACAATATAAATATTTACACCTGGTCTGTCTTACATAATATTTTAGTAATACGTGTCATTACTTCATGTCCATCTGAAAAAATCTGTCCAGAATATCATGCTAAGCCTCTCTACGTTGTTCCCTTTTGTGCAAATGTACTTGTGCGATGAAATGGAAAATATTTATGTTATCATTAGTAATGCATGTCTTATTACATCTGAATGCTGTACGTTTTGTAACTTTGGGGACAGATGGCAAAAATTTCGTGCGTGTAGTACGAAGGCTGTGATGTTCGTTACTGCTGGAGCTTTGCAAGTGATTAGTTGTCTTGCTTCTAGTATGATTTGTCGGCGTCCACCTTTTCCCCTGACGGACGAGTGTTTCAAGTTGAATATGCAATGAAAGCAGTGGAAAACAGCAGGTAATTTGTCTGTTCACACCAGACTTTGACCATTCAACTGTTGCTGTTTTTCTGGACAAATGTAATTAAGGAACTTTTCGAAGATATTGTATGAAAAATGATAGATATCTTTGACAGTATGCAGTGTTCTGTAGCTGATACCTGGATAATGTTACCTGCAAGAGCTGACTTTTAGATACTGGATATGCAGATACTGGTCACCCTGTTCATCTCAATGGTGTTGGTCTGTAGCACATACTGGTGTTTTATTATAAATTGTTTGTGCCTTTCAGCACGGCCATTGGGATCCGGTGCAAAGACGGTGTGGTGTTTGGAGTAGAGAAGCTTGTTCTCTCAAAGCTGTATGAAGAGGGCTCCAACAAACGCATCTTCAACATCGACCGCCATGTTGGAATGGTAAGAATCCCAAATCTCCAGCATCCAGAGGGCCAGATCTGCTGCCTTTTTAAATATTTTGTTGAGAGGACTGAGGTGTTTCCATCAGTTTTCCTCCATGTTAACATCCACATGAATACCATGGTGAAATTTAAGGGCAAGACAGAATATTTTCTATTCTAAAGGTATACTTTCCCCACACGCTTGGGTGATAGTATGTATCTGATTCATTGGTAGCACTGTAGTGTCACATCTCCAGTGTTGTGTGGATGTTGCATCTCTTGGTGTTTGTGTGGTGTTCTTCTAGGTATATCAATTTGTTCTTGTTTCCAAAAACATGCATTAAAGGAAATTGGCCTATCTCAGTTCCCCATACTGGGCTTCCTGGGACGTGCTTCAGGCTCACCATGACGGTGTACTGGATAAGGGGATGGAAAAGTTGCCTGTCTTTCATTGGTTGTTGGTTTAATATTTAATAGCAGTCATTTTCAGATATTTTGCACTTATGTCACAATAACTGTGCTACTGATGGCTTTCTGAAGCCACCAGAATGATGGTAAATCCCTGTCACAGTGCCAGGTCTGTGACTTTTATCATATGAAGGTGTTGTACCTGCAGCCGTGCGCGTACCTCAGCACTAAAGCAGGCACACTGACTGCTCCTCTCCCACAGGCTGTCGCTGGGCTCCTGGCTGATGCTCGCTCTTTGGCTGAAGTGGCCAGGGAAGAAGCCGCCAACTTCCGGTCCAATTATGGCTATGACATCCCCCTCAAGGTAAGGGCCATCTCTCTGTTTACAATCCGTCCGCTAAGCGCTAAAGAAACTGGTGTGCACACTATTAACTAAGTTTAAATTCCTCCACTGGTCTCCTGTACTAGTTGTAACGGAGATGACTTGGGTTATTTTATTTATTTTATTTAACCTTTATTTATGAATAGGGCTGGGCCATATGACAATGTCATTGGTTATCGACGATATAAGATAAGTAACCCGGTGTTGGTCTGACGGTGACTAACATTGTTGGGGATGTAGCTTTAGAGCCGGTTAATACTTGACTCCTCTTTTGTCACAGGACTGTGTTTATATACAATACTATTAAAGTTTTTTTTTCTTTATACGAATGAGTGGCTGAAAGATATTCAAAAGTCAATATTTTCAGGGGCAAGAGAAGAAATATTTTGAACACTATTGTGTGCCTCTGTGTAGTGTCTTCAAAATTTGGCAGTTTAAGGTTTTTCTGCTACTGCAAAGAAAGTAGCGTCATATGTCAATTGAACAAAGTACAACAAATTACTTACTTGAATGCCTCTCGACAGACAATTACAATTGCAAACCACTGCTTCAGATGGTTGTCGATGGTTTGTGACACGTTTTTTAATGATAATTATTATTGGGATTGTCAATCCATCTTTTTCTGCAGAGAATTAAAAAATAATGATGATCAAAGCCTCTAATAAGAATCCCCCCCCCACCACCACCAGCAGGCAATGTAGAACGCTGCCTGTTTTGTGGATTATCCATATCTTATTCTATTCTTTTTTTTTCACATTAAAAGATGTCTTGTGTGTGTGTGTGTGTGTGTTTAATTATTTTTATTACCGGCCCTCCATGGTACAGGTTCCCCACCCCTGCCTTAACCAAAGGGCCTGAGATCCCGCCTGTGTCTGTTCTTTATTATTTAAATAAATTATTCTGACTCCCATGATTACGTATCTGCTCCAAGATGAGCTGCATGGACACTGCAGAATGGAGGCCTGGATGGGTTTCTTACAGCCATTTGTCCTGCCTTTGGGATGGTGCTTTAGGGAAATACCTCAGGAATAACCTGACATTGGCCGCTGGCCCATTCGAGATAATGCCTACCCATGTCCGTCAGGTCGGTGTATAAAGCTAACTGTCAACTGTCTCAATTTATGTTGAGCTATTTTTCTGGTTTCCCACCAGCATCTTTCAGACAGAGTGGCCATGTACGTCCACGCCTACACGTTATACAGCGCTGTGCGGCCCTTTGGCTGCAGGTAAGGTCCACTGCTCCCATGTTGCTTGCATAGCCGCCTCCTGTCCAAGTTCACCCCCTCTACCTCATTATAAAAAAAAAAAAGAAATCTTAATGCCAGTTAAGTTACAAGGGACATGCCTGGAAAATGGAGATGTGTTGAGATGAAGTTATGCTGATCTACTCATAAACAAGCAAGTGTATTAGCCCCTGTTACTGTTTGTTTGCATCAGAAGGATTTTACTTGTAAAAGAATAACAAATTGTGGGGTTTTTTATTCAGATGTTTTGATAAAGGTCATTGCTTGTGCCATCCTAGGCCTTGGAAATTATATATGATTCATTACCTGAACAAGATAATGGTGTTTCCTTATCGATTAGTGGGGGGAGGGGTGCCAAGGCTTTGTAATGTCAGGTAAGATCCTTCTCTTTAGCTGCTAAATGAGTTCTAAAAGGAAAGATTCAGGTAAGAAATCAATATTGCCTTGCAAAATAAATGTAGGGGATTCTTGATTTTTCATTGGTTATTGTCAGTTGTCCAGGTGGTAGGAGATGAGCCATGCTCTTGCCGTTCATCGTCCTCCCTCCTTGTGTGTTCTCCTCAGTTTCATCTTAGGATCCTACGATAAAGATGACGGGGCACAGCTGCACATGGTTGATCCCTCAGGTGTCTCCTACGTGAGTTGGTGTTTGTTGGTTTGTTGTGGTCACTGCTGTCCTTGGCTGATGTGCTGTTTTTCTGGGCTGCTTTAGAGGACCCAGCTTCTGCTGACCTCGGGGTCTGATTGTTTGATTTTATTCAGTTTTTAATAATGATTGAATGGCCTAGATCCAGGGTGTCCAATCTTTTTTACAGTGAGTTACTTTTCTGAAGAAAATACTCTGGCAAGCTATTAAATCGTAATGGTCACAACATCCCCCTTGGTATATTTTGACATAGGAGGGTCCCCACTCAGAATGTTTTGCCGACTAGGCTGGGTGGGGGATTCTCATTGGTAGATTTTGCCAATTGCAATCAAATGAAATATGAAAGACCACGTAAATATCTTGTGATTGACCTGAAAACTTAACGGGTTGGGTGCTCCTGTTCCAGATCTTTCTCAGTTACCTAATGAATTTTCTTTCTGAAAAGCTTTTAGTTTGCTTGTCTGTACCTTCATATCCTTTAAAGCTCCAATGAGTACTTCTAACCCATTATGAAATTGATTAATTTTTTTTAGGGTTATTGGGGATGCGCTATTGGAAAGGCCAAGCAAGCGGCAAAGACGGAGATTGAAAAGCTTCAGGTTGGTGTTCCGCTCTTTTCCTAATTGCCACCCGCAGCATTTACCCAGAATGCCTTGTGCTAATTAATCTTTCTCAGCAGATGAAAGAGATGACATGCCGGGAACTGGTTAAAGAGGTCGCAAAAATGTAAGTCTTCCATTCTTCTGTGATTTGGACAATATACAAAATATTATCTGCCAAGACCCATTCAAAGGAAAGTCACTGTGATGAATATTGAACCTAATTCTAAATTTGGGTGGAGCTTAAAATCGAATGAAATAGTGTGTTAAACACCACCATAACTCATACTGAACATATGCATTATGTTATACCTGTGTTCTGTGGTTTAGAGACATTTGGTGCATGAAAATGTAGAACTTAAATAGCTAAGTATGCAGTTTATTGGTGGCAGCAAGTGGCTCACTGGGCTAAGCCTCCGTGCCTGTGATTAGAAGTTTGCTGGTTTGAGCCCGGCCTTGGCAGAATAGCCACGTATGTGGGCCGTGGTGCAAGGCCCTTAACCCTCAACCCTATTTTGCCAAACTTGCCGTCATTTACAGTGCTGTGAAAAAGTATTTTCTTATTGATTTCTTATTTTTCTGCATATTTGTTACACATGTTTCAGATCATCAGACAAATTTTAGTATTAGGCAAAGATAACAAAAGTAAATACAAAATGCAGTTTTTAAATGATGATGTCATTTATTAAGGGGAAAAAGCTATCCAAACCTACCTGGCTCAATGTGAAAAAGTAACTGCCCCTATTGCTATCTAATAACTGGTTGTGTCACCCTTAGCTGCAAGAACTGCAATCAAGCATTTGCCATAACCGGCAATGAGTCTTGCACGTATTTTTTTTCACAGCACTGTACATATGTGTCTGTATGTAATGGAGAGTAAGAGGGGGTAGGCGAACAGAGAATTTCCCCATGGGGATTAATAAAGTGGTGGTGGTGGTGGTTGTTGTTGTGTTATGACATGCTTTAAATAGTGGCGACCTGATGCTTTAAGTATTTGACCCCCCTTTTCATCCTTTTTGTCAAGAATCTACATTGTACACGATGAGGTGAAAGACAAAGCATTCGAGCTGGAGCTCAGCTGGGTTGGAGAAGGTAAGAATATCTCATGCCAACTTGGTAGCACTAACTGGGTGGAGAAGAGTGGCTTTCAAGACCTGTGCTGGGTGGGATTATTATGCATTGACAGTCACTGGGTGGTTGTGTCATTAGTTATTTTGTTGGATCCATTTGTCTTGAACTCGATGGTGATTGACCGCAGACAGTAATCCTCTCATTTCTCACCAGCAGCAGTTTCATCTGTAACGTTAATAATAAGGTGTGACATGTAGGTGATACATGAGTCGGTTTGTGTAAAACTTCCCCTGCTCTCTCGTTAGTAACAAACGGCAGGCACGAGCTGGTACCTAAAGACGTTCGAGAAGAGGCTGAGAAGTACGCCAGCGTAAGTGCAGGCCGCAGCCCCCCCCCCCGACCCCCGCGTCAGCCGGCTCCCCCCTCTGCTGGTGTCTCACGCCATCTCTCAATTCCCACAGGAGTCTCTGGATGAAGAGGATGACTCTGACGAAGACAACATGTGAAGCGCTCTGTGTGACGACATCCCTGCAGACCTAAACACACGGACATGCTAATGTACATCAGAACCATTTTGTATCTTTTCTAGTTTGTTTTGCTCAGTGGATTTTCTTTTTTCTTTCCCTGTTACCTCAAATAAAGTGATTGGGGAACAAAATTTTACATTGTATGGTTATATTTCTCACTTTGTATATTTTTTTTCTTGGATTTCCAATAATTATTATTTTCCACCCTTAAAGTAAAATATTGGCCAACAGCAGGAGTCTTATGAGGACAGCTGGAACATCGATAACCCACAACATTCATGGCACAGGCGGTCTTATATATTTTTTCAGAGGGGAATTCCACTCAGAAATGATGTTAACTTTAATACTCATATATAGAAAATTGTATTTCATGGACAGGGTACTGGCTCCTGTGTTTCCCCAAAGCAATTTTGCCTCCCGATTCTAAAGGAGATTTGATTTTTACTGGAGTCTGTCAATCGACACACCGGTTCCCCTGTGCCAATCTATATGGAGGTTCCTCCGGCTGTGTTCTGCTTTCTAGTGAATCGTGGGAGCTGAGATGAAATCGTGATCCAAATAATATACTTAATATTATATATAGTAGTATTTTTGGGCTGTGCTTCCTCCATTTCTAGGAGATAAAATGCAAAGACACATCCTTTTATGAACCTTCTACTGTGGTTGATGTGAAATAAGTTACAGTTACAGGAAGTACCATGCAGGTCCGTGGGAATTCCAGTGCAGGGGTCCTTCAACTCGTTCATTACATACATGATGCAAACAGACATGGACAAGTATAGGCAATATGTACATATGTACAGTACACAGGTACATGTGCAATATGTAAGCATAGTACCAAAATGTGTATCTAGAAAATACATTTTTAAATTTTAATACATTTCTGGGGTTACTGCACATCGGGCAGTGGGCTTAGGGGTGTTACCCCCAAACCTAAATGTCCCCAACAACCAGTCTTATTACTGGGGGATGAATATTTCGGCAAAGCTGTTCCTGATGTGTGCCTGTATGATGATTGCTGTGCTTTTTGTCTACCAGTTGAGGCGATTTGAGATGTATAAGCCCATGAACTTGTACGGGTCAGTGTTGTCCATCTCAGTGCCTTTGCATTCCTAATGAAGACCAGGATCGGTTCCTTCCTTCTACAAATGAACAGGACAAAGTCATTTTCATATCCACGGTTACTGACCATGAAGAGTCTTCCTTATCCCGTCATTGGCTGCTGTGATAATCGAGCTCAGCTCATTGGCTCATTGGGTCATGAGCAGTTGTGTGTGTATAATGAGAGTAGTTTAGGGCTCAGGCAGCTGCCCTAAGGAGTAGCTGAGTAGGAGCTCTATTCTGCATTCTCACGACATGCGGTCCACTGCTGACAACATCCAACATTCAGTTACAAGCGGGAATGAGCAGACCGACTTGGTGGGCTTGATTGTAATCTAGGAAGAGCATGTGTGCTTATGGGCTCTGTTAGTCCAGGGGCTCGAGAGCAGAGCGAAGAGCAACGGCCACTGCATCACTGAAGGATGTGACCTGGAATGAAGCTAAAGTTAGCAAGAACTTCATAGCTACTGCTTAGAGTTAATAAGACTGGATATCATGGCTTTTCGCCCTGGGATTGTAGTGGAGCCAGTTCCTGGCTGACCGAGATATTGAAGAGGTCCATATATACAGCTGCCAGCTATATAGCAGGTGCTCAGGACCCTCAGTGATCTGCCATTGGGTGCCTCTCCTGAGGGGTGTTAACCTGCTGCAGGGGAATCTGGTGGGGGTGCCATTGTTTGAGTGGTCAATGGTGTTTAGTTCATCTGGAAGACTGGTGTGTGTATGCGTTTCCTTCATGGTTTGTGACTCCCTGGACACTCAGCCACATGACTTAGGTGTGATCATTCAGGTCCTGGGCTTGTATTATTATTTTATTGAATGCATTCATTTAGCCTCTACACTGAATGTCGCAACCTTTTACTGCGTAAATGGTATGGAAGATTAATAGATGCTGTGCTGAAATTGAAATTTCTCGCCTTAAAATATGGAAAGAGGTCTAACTGACTTCGAAGAGATCACCGTTTTGGTATTTTTAATGTACTGAAGACTATAAGGAAATAGATTGCAGTAATCACTGAGATGTTTTGTTCATGCTTATTTTTTGTAATATAGATATAATTGTAAAATGATATCTTCTAAACATGATTATGTGACTTCAAATGTTAATCACACTTGTGGTGTCAGAAATATACCTACATTTTTTTTTCAGAAAAACGGGAATTATTCCATGAGGCGTCTAGTTCCTGTAGGTGGCGCTAAAACACCAAATATTGAACATTTGCAGAACACACTCTATAATCCTCCAATGGCAGATTTTTTTTCATTATTAAAATGGAATTTTCAAAATCAACAATTGTGTTACATATATATTTAATTATTTATTTCAATGATATTTCAAACTATATTAACAATTATTTAGTATTCTTTGATTTGAGTTCTCCTATCTTTTATTTTATTTTATCACTAAGCTCCTATAAGAATAAGGTTGTGTACAGAAATCACCATGTCCCTGCATGTGAGTGGAAGACGGATTGATAGAGTTAGACAATGTTAGAGATGTGAGTCATGTGATATTCTGTGTCTCTGTGGGTCAGGACTACAAGCCTGTTAGTCTCTGGCTCAAATCCAGCCAGATTTCATTGTTGGGCCCAAAGCCCCATAGCAAGACCCTTAACCCCAGTTGCCCCAGGGGCCGAGTCACCGTGCTTTCTCAATGCCAAGTCTCTTTGGATAAGTAGCTGTTAAATGTAATGTGAACTATAAGCTGCCCTCACGACCATATAAGTGAGTAATACAACAACACAATTGAATTATTATAACAAAGAATAGAATTTTTAAATCAGCACCACCCACATTTCTCAGATTAATTAGTGCATTTTAATTTCATGACCTGTTTCAGAAAGATTAACTCCTGCTCGCATCCTCTTTTCTCTCTAAAAGGCTTTGAGCAATCCGCTCTGCATATGCGCATTCTTCTTTTTGTTAGAAAGAATCCTGGCTGTGTCATACGCTAATTGTGGGGCGCGGGCAGGAGTCCGTAGCGACGGAACACATCAGCTTTATTCTTCCGCTGAGACGTCAGTTAGTGCTCCTCAGCTGCCTCTGACACATGGCTTTCAGGTTCCTGTTGCGTGCTGCCAGCTCCAGCAGTGACTGACACATTGCTCTTCCTATCAGGCCATAGCCCGCCCACACAACACCTGTTGATTGGATGAAGAGGCCTGAGTAAAAAGGAAAAGAACTGGGGGGAGGGGGTACACAGGCTGCCCTCAACTCCTAGTAGATTCCCAGCCACTTGCAGCAAAGAGGCCAAAAATAAGTGCAAAAGCCAGGGAACGTTAACAAAACAAGCCGTTTCTTCTGTTGTCATGAAGGCAGAGTCAGGATAACCCTGAGAAATCTAAGAGCAATAAGAAAATCTGTCACGACTAAATTTGGACCTAGGAGGCCCTGTAGGTGCACACTGGCAAAAGCACAGCATGTCCCATGGAGGACCGAAGGAAACAAACACACCTCTCGTTCCATTGGGTGGCTGGGTCTGCGGGTGGATCTGAGCGAACTGGGTGAAGCTGGAGCTACTGGTGGGTGGGCTTGGTTATCGTATGATTGTGAGTCCCCCCCCACCACGTCCCTGCACAGGTACATACTGCGAAGGCGGCGTAATGATAGGATGCAGGGAATTTCGGAAGATGTCCTACACCAAAGATAAGGAGCACACTAACTGCTCTGCTGCTGCTCCGCAGAATGGTTTTTTTAAAAAAATGTTTTTCTGCTATCATTGCCAGTCTCCGTCGACATGGAGACACAAGGGCTAATGCGCTGCTGCATATACATTAACATACATATCATAATGGCCTAGTCCAAGAATGAGGATGATGTCAGCTTCTGCTGTAAAACACACAAGCGTCCTGCTTCCCAGTCTTACGCTGCAAGGGCTTGAACCTTGTGCTGCACATGCAACAGTGCCAACCACCAGCGTAGTCAGAAACGAAACGCCTGCACTTCACATCATCACCATCATCATCATCATCATCATCATCGCTGTCGTCATCACCAGACACCCTAATGGGGAGGGGGGTCGTCCCTGGGGTCACAGAGTACAGGACACACCTGTGGAACACACTGCAGGGTGCCCACTGCCCATACCCACACTGCAGGGTGCCCACTGCCCATACCCACACTGCAGGGTGCCCACTGCCCATACCCACACTGCAGGGTGCCCATACCCACACTGGAGGGGCAAACCCACCACCACAGATGCAGGAGAACCTTTGGCCAGCTCGTGGTTTCTAGTCGGGGGTGGACACACGATTAGTCAAAGGAATCTGGGGTGGGGGCTAAACAAATATACCAAGAATTCCGTAACAGGGTACATATTTAGATTTGAACAGGTAGACATCCTCTGCCAGCCCGAGAAAAACTGTAAAAACTATTCTGTCTGTTTATATACAAACATACACTGTGTTCACATCGTCTCAATGTTGATAACAATATCAAGAATGATTAATCCTGAGTATTAAGAAACACGAGGAAAAAACCCACATGCAACATCCTACTGCATGCAATCTTATGCTAAAAGAACACAGTGAGCTTCAAAAAGAAAATATTTACTGTCATCTGATTTTCCAGTCCCCACTGTACTCTGCCTGCTCAGGAATCAGGAGAGCAAGCCTCCATCCAGCTACTGCGGGTAATTAAACACTCCGCTTGCGAATACACTTCATAGCTCAAAACTGCTCAATAAAAATATACCACAAGCATCTCCCTGTGGCTGAGCATGGAGCTCCTAGAGTCGTAATGGGAGTCTGGCCTTAACTTTGAATAGAATGTGAACAGCACATTTTCCATTTTCTGTCATGTGACTGGATGACCTCAGGGGAAACAGACAAGCTGAAACCTTAAAAAGGGGAAGGATTTTGAAAATGTTACTATAAAGGCAACTGTGTCAAAAAACTAACAGAGCTGCTGATGAGACAACAAATCATTGATCGGATTTGAAACATGGCTCCTGTGATCAGATAGTTTATGAAATATGTTTCTCCTTAAATCAAATGACACAGAACGGGCACTATGGGGCTCAGCGGGTTGCGGCTC